GGCTGCTGTGGTCTGAATGTTTGTGTCCTTTCAAAATTTATATGTTGAAACCTAATCTCTGATGTAGTATTAACTGGGGATGCCTCTGGGCAGTAATTAAGTCATGAGGGTAAGGCCCTCATGGATGGGATTAGTGCCCTTAAAAGATGTTAGAGAGTTCATTCATTCCTTCTATCAGGTGAGGACTCAGTGAGAAGGTGCCTTCTATGAACCAGGAAGTGAGCCCTCACTAGACACTAAATCTGCCTATGCCTTGATTTTAGAATTTCCAGTCTTGAGAGGTGCAAGAAATAAATTTCTATTGTATGAGCTACCCAGTCTATAGTATTTTGTTGCTGGAGCAGGAGGCTAAGGTAATGGCATATAGATCTCTGTGTCCCACACAATAATAAAAGGTGCATCATCTGACTTGCATTTATATACCAGAAGAACTGTTATATTTCTAGTGATAGTGAACTGAATAGAGTAGAAAAATTAAGAGAAAACCTGAACAAAAATAATCAGTATAGTAATCAAATCAATTTGAGACTTTCCAAACCCTCCTTCCTGACCCATTCATGTTTCTCCTTCTCTGTTAAGGACACCTGCCCAAGATGTTTCCATTGATGAGATGGCTTACCACTTCAAGGACCACTCAATTTCTAGTCTCTCAAACAATTCACATCCAATAGAGAAATACAGAAAGTGCCACACTCACTTATAATCTTGATAATGAAACACTGTAAGGATAGTACTGAAAGAGAAAATACAGAGCAATTTCACTTACGTAAAGATTTCTATTAGATCCTCAAAGTTAGCAGTACCATCTATACATAGAGATTATGACAAAGTATCATTCCAGGAATATAAGGAGAAACATGAGAAAAATCTATTCAATATTTTTAAAAGAAACAAAAGGAACTCTTTTAAAAGAGACAAAAGTCACGTAAACGTAATGTTAAAATTTTATTTAAAAAAAGCCATTTGGGAATAAAGAAAAATGCCTTAAGCTGAGCATCTTCCAAAAACCTATGACAAAAATTATGCTTAAATGGCAAAAATCTAACGACCCTTTTACATCTTGCAATATTGATTTCTTTTAAGCCCTAATCTTTCGTCTACCTAGAAAATACAAAGATACCCATTTTTATTTTTAATTTCGTATTACATTGGTTAGGGCTTAAAGTGTTCAAGAGAAGAGGTGATGGAAACATTCCTACTAGAGCTATTTCCATTTCTCATGCATAGAAACTCAACTGATTTTTTTCTGATATTGAATTTACACTTGGAAATGTTGCTCACCTCTTATTTGCAAATTATAAAACTTTCTTGATGGAATCAACTAAAATTGATTTTGCAATCTGTGGTTTTAATTTTTATTGCAAATAAGATCTTTTCCCCAAAATATAGGAAACAAATTGTGAAATGTTATTGGTCTGGTGTAACTTTATTACATTTACCAGACTAAATGGTGATAGCATGTTCCCATTGACAATCTTCCTCAAATGCAACTAAATGGTATTTTCCTAAATGGTATTTTAATGGTATTCCAATAAAAATCTCAGCAGGGTTTGACAAGCATTTTAAAATGCATATGCACTGGGCGTGCTAGCTCATGCCTGTAATTCCAGGACTTTGGGAGGCTGATGGGGGTGGATCACTTGAGGTCAGGAGTTCAAGACCAGCCCAGCCAATATAGTGAAACCCCATTGCCACGGAAAATACAAAAATTAGCCAGGCATAGTGGCTACCACCTGCAATCCCAGCTACTCGGGAGGCTAAGGCAAGAGAATCACTTGAACCAGGGAGGCAGAGGTTGCAGTGAGCTGAGATTACACTACTGCACTCCAACCTGGGTGACAGAGTGAAACTCCATCTTAAAAAAAAATAAAAAATTTAAAAAATGCATGGAAGAGCAAAGAATCAAGGATAACCAAGACTATTACTGTATCTTTATAACATCCACTATGGAAAGTATTTCCACTTTTTATATACCAGTAAACTATATTAGAAATAATTTTGAGTCACAACAAACAGCATAATGCCACAGCACAGAGACTCCAACATAGATCCATATAAATACGAAACCTGGATATACAGATGTAGGGTGACATACAGAAGGAAAAGCTTGGACTCTTTAAAAATGGGTTTTAGGATTAGTGAGTAAATAATCCACGTGGAATTAACTTTTGTGAGAGTGTGGACTTAAAAAGACTTTGATATTTTTTCATATAAAAAAAATCTGGACCTAGATCCTTTTGAAAAAGATTTTTACAAAGCCCATAACTGACCACTTGTATAACAATATGGAGTCCACTGTTGTGTGAAAGTTTATTTTTATTTTTAATATTAAATTTAACATGAAAGACTTTTTTTAAACTCAGGGTAAAGAAAGATTTCTGTTTTTAAAAAAAGTACAAGAAGCCCAATCCTAAAGATTTTTTAATGAATTTTTAAGAGTGCCCACATTTCAATCCTAAAGATTTTTTAATGAATTTTTAAGAGTGCCCACATTTTCTTCTGAAAGTTTAAAATTAATAGCTCAATAGTAGAGAAAGAATATAGATTATACAGAGAAAATTCAAATGTTCGATAAACAAGCTATCATAGAAAATTTAAATGTCCAATAAATATTTGCAAAGGGGTACTAGCTTAATAATTAGGAAAATGAAAACAATACATTGTTTCAAGTTTAGTATTGCCAAATATTATGTTGAAATTCTCATTTCTGCAGATCTTCGGCTCTTATCAGGATGTTACCATTTCACAACTATCAGAGTGACAAGTTGGTTTCTACATAGATAATTGACCTTTATACTCCTCCAGCATGCACCGTATGACCCAGTGTGTTAGGTATCATTGGTGTTTGTCAATACACTGGTTCTCTTGTTTTTTCTGTGTGCAAAGATGGTGCTGAATAACCATGGCAGGTTACATGACCAGTTCTGGGCAGCCAGTTGTGAGTGGAGTGCTGTGCAACGTTTCTCACCGGTACAAGATCCTCTCCTCTTACTCCTTTCCTGTCTCAGTGATAGAGACACTCAAGTGATCCCAAGGGGGCACCTACAAGAGGGGGCCCTCCATTGGCCTAGGCCTCTAACAGACTGTGGGGAGCTGAGCCCCTTATTGACTCATGGTGGACATGTAGTGTGAATGATAACTATTTCTTTGAACAACTAGAACTGCCAAATAAATGAGTGCTATTCTCAAAAAGTCACAGGTGAACAGTTTCTCTAGGGTATAGACACAGAAATAGAACTGCCAGGAATTAATACAGAACCTGGCACAGAATTGGCATTCCCTAAATGTTGGTGAGTGAAGTCTAGCCTGGCTCACCCTAGTTTCAGATACATAGAAAATAAAATCCAATGCTTCCCATCAAGGAGCTCAGAGCAGCACACAAATATTCACAATAGAGCGTATCACCCCTTCTGCACTGTTCAGTAGAGCAGCCACTAGGCATCTGAAAGCTTGGAATGTGGCTAAGGTGACTGAGGAACTATATTTTTAGTTTTAAAAATTGAAGTAGTGTAAAATATCTTTCCATTAAAAACTTGTGTTTTGGTAGGGTTACTTCTGATTATAACTGAAAATTTAGCAGTAAAATTGAAACATGCTGTAGATTTAAAATACATACCAGATTTCTGAACCTCATTTTTAAAGTGTCACGGTCATGTCACAGTATTTTGCTGACTGAAGATATTTAAATAATATTCTAGATGTATTGGGCCAAATTAAATGTTTATCTGTTCGTTTTACTCTCTTAAAATGTGGCTACAAATTGGCTCACATTTGATGGATGTGGAAACCTTAAAAAGCAACTCATACTGAGCGTAGCTGTTGGCAGCAAATGACTCTACATACTGCAAAGAAAAGGGCTTTGCAGATACCAGGGGGTACTAATGCCGCTCCTACCAAAACACTATCCTAAACATTGCTTAATTTATCCTGTCATTTATTAACAAAATGTAGTAATTGGAGGTCCTTCAAAATAAAAAACACACACTCAACACAGTTCTGCCCCCTACTCCCTCCAGTTTTGTTAAAAATGTACTTATTTCATGACATGTACCTACAAGTTAAGCTATTTTCTAAATGAAATAATGTGATAAACGAAGTCTCATAACATTTGAAATCCAAGGGCATCATGTAAACCTGGTGAATCAGGTGTTATTCTCTTGAGCTTGGGTTTTAACATGTTTTCTGTAACACAGTGTGCATTAGTGATGGCCACTTCCTAGCTTTACACCCTTGAAGTCAATTTCCACCCATGTTCCCTATGTGACTCACTACACTAACTATCCCTGGTACTCCATGCATAACACAGATCCTCTTCAGTTTCCTGCTCCCTTATTTAACCTCCACTCTCCCCGAAATAACTACTGTCAAAAGTACTAAATGATAGTATGGGATTCAAAGATGACGACTCATTTTAATTCAGAAACCAATAGGTCAAAATGCTGAACTAAAGCAACTCATCTCCATTTTCCTCAGATCTGCCAGTATTGGTCATAAGTCCAATTCTCTTCCTTTCCCTTTATGACTCCTTGGGCCCTAGGAATGAGATGAGGAAATTAAGTGCCTCTTTAAATATCCTCATACTCTTGCATCCCAAACATCTGTGGACTCAGGTACAAGAGAAAATTGGAGAGATGACATCAACAGTGCAAGTACACTCACGTGGTCCAGGGGTACATCACTGCTTGGGAACTCTTCCACCTGAGACATGGAAGGCAGGTGAAAGGCCCAGATACTTTCTCTGCTGAGGCCACTAACCATGCCAGGAAAATTGCCACTGCTGTCCAAACTAGCACCTCTTGTGAATTTACAAGCGAAACAAAACAGAAACATAACCTCGCCTGCTCATATTAGGGTGTGCAAGGTTAACCATCCCATCAGTGCATCTAATTCTAAACATACCCTGGTAGAATTCAAAACACCTGTTGTGTAGAATGATGCCTCTGATTCAGAAACGTCTAATACAAATAGGCTATGTAATAAACAGTCATCTGCATAACATCTGAAATGAAAGGGCAAAGAAAATTTTTGTTGCTTTATTTAACAAAATTTATGCCAACTCCTATATCTATATACAAACATGTTTCAAAACCAGAGCAGCAGACACACAAACTGTTAACACAGGAATTACAATAATGCTTAAAACATGTTACACAATGTTTCGTTTCTGCTCATATTGACATTTACAGATTGAAAAATTATTCCAAAGGCCGTGCAGCATCACATCTTCAATTTCTGGGATGGTTTATATAACATGTCCTAAAGAAAGCTGGAACTTTTGAGACAATGTGTTGTGTCCAGTCTAGTTCAACAGACAGCACTTGGCCCTTAATGAAGGCTATGAGATGTTCTGGACTGGGGATAAAAATTTGAATAGTCTATTAACGTATACTTTGAGTCAGATTTTTTTTTTTACTTTTACTCTATTTGTCAATATCATAAACATAACAAACTCTCTGGTCCCCCAAAGAATATCTACTTTAAAAAATAAATTTAAAATGATTTTATTGGTAGTATTAACAAAATGTAGTGACTAGAGGTCCTTCAACATTAAGGTAAGAACACACGAATACACAACACAGGTCTGCCCCTACTCCCTCATTTTGTTAGAAATGTGTTTATTTCATGACATGTACCTACAGGTTAAGCTATTTTCTAAAGCTCTTTATATAGGGAAGACAGCTACTTTTCGCTTTCCCATTTTTGACTTCCAGAAACCCTTTTACTCCTTAAAAGGTATGCTAGTTCTGAAAATCCTGAAAAGCTTTGCTACATACTCTACTCACGCAATTAAGCTCCATCAAAGTATGCCACTTTTGTTTTTAGATAATGTTTGAAAAACAGTTGATGCGGCAAACTGCAAATACTTCATGTTGATAGTTAACACTCTGACCTGATTCAAGGCCAATTCTCAGTTTAGCTTTTCAGTAAAAAGCACTATGTGGTGAGGAACAGGAGAGAAAAAAAGTAGGAAAAAGAAAGAAAGAAAAAAAAAAACACAGCCTTTTCTTCTTCACTCCTTTCCCCATCCCAGGAGCTTTTTTTCATGCCATAGGAGTACAAGTATGTAACATGGACAAAACTTTGAATGCTCTCCTTTATGTTGTAAAATGGTACCAAAAATCTACTTCCCCAAAATCACCAAATAAAAATGCACAAGGACTAAATGCAGTAATAAAATGATCCACAGGGGTTTCTATCACTTGTTCATATAAACCAGACCCCATCATTCCTGTGCTTTCATTTTCTAAAAGTGAGATTAGACCCTTATAAAAATGTACTTTCAAAATAAACTTCTGGAATATAAAAACATTCTACATTTTTCCAGCCCTTGTATCATTATAAAATAGGAAATCAGAAAATTAGGTACTGCAATTTTCATGTGGTAAAAAATATTTTATGTGTACACACACATATATACACATATATAAAAATGCAAGTTTTAAATTTCAATAAAAATTAATTAACTTGATCATGTACTGAATTATACAAAAGAAATGTTGATTATCTGTAATGAGAACAAACTGCAAAGAATTGCAATCCCATCTGCAGGAATCTAAGACTTTCCCATATGAAAAAAAAAAAATCATAAAGTCTCCAATTGACTACCCAGTAAGATAAAAATCATTGGTGTCTTTTTCAGATGTAACCCCTCAGTTTCATTCACTGCGCCCCATAAATCGCCTAAGGCAGGAATAGCTCCTGGAGGGAGGAAAATGCCTTGTGGCTGTGCCGTCTGTGCTCTACCTGATGGTCAGTGCCCAGCTGCACAGTCAAGTGAAGACTAGAATCCAATCTTGAGCAATTGCCAAGCCATCTATCTGCCCAAGAAGCTGTGCTTGTGCAGGGGGTGGGCCTTTTTCTAAAGAACACAAATGTGTTGTGTAGATAAGCGACAGTCCTGACATCTGCTGGTAGAGTAGGGAGTGGAAGGAGTGTTCCCCAAGTTGCTTCCCCGAGAAAGCTGAGTGGCAGGGTAAGCATGAATGGGGTTAAGACAAATTAGAAACAGAGGGTTAGGTTACTACCAGTGAAAATCAGAGATCATGTTCCTGTAACTTGAGCATAAATAGTGGGAGGTCTTTCTTTTGTTGACTCCTGCCATTTTCTAGCATAACAGAAAACCTTACTCAAAGGCACAGAAGAAACAGAAGTGGGCAAGGAAGTTGTGCTGGGCCACAGGAGGCCTGTTGAGAAATGGCAAAGGGAGGCTATTGTCCACGACTCAAAAGGGTCCAGAGAGAGAGCAGACAGCATCCACCCAAGGTCTCAGGCATATGAAACCCCTTTCATAACTTTATAAGCCTTGTTTGCAAGTTTTATCTATGTGTAAGCCTGTTCCCTTGCATGTTAAATTGGTCACTTAAGTTATGTTTCTGGGAGTGGTAAGGGCTAAGAGAAAACAGTTCTAGGTATTTTCCTTCTGTAATTTTTTTCTTTGCCAAAAGATACATTCCCTTCCCAACTGTCATAAACCAATGTATTTTAAAGAAAGTAAAAGCTAAATTTTTGAAAATGTTATTTTTCTTCCAACACTTGCCGTGAAAGGAGTAAATTCAGGCAAACAGTTGAAAGCATTCTTTAAAATGGCCAATAAAAGCAAAACTCTTTGTGCTATATGGAACACTTGGAGTATTACAAAACCAGGAAGGGAGTAAAACAATGGACATTTCTCTACAACCAAATTTAAGATAGTAAAGCAGAAAATGTAATTCCCATTGTGCACCAAATACTCAGGATGCAAGTTAATGCAAAAACAAAACAGATGTGCACACCAAGACATAGGTTTAATTCTTCAGTAGCATTTATATGAAGAGCATGTGTAAAACATTTTCAATCTGCCCCTCTGAATGGGTTATGAAAGATCTGTATGTACTTAGAAAAGGGGGTGCTAAACAAAGAAAACTGTCAAATCCCACTGAAAATCTGTTCAAAGTTTCATAGGCTCTCTCCAGAACAATGCGTATGTATCAATTTGTGTGTACAATTTCAGGGACCTCAAATACATTCTGGGGTCTAATCACATACTTCATGTTCAGACCCTTGGCTCCCAGTATACCTACAGTTCTGAATGAAGAATTAGCAGTCCTCTCATTTCTACAGTCTATATTTCTTCTACTTATTCTGGGTGAAGGGACTCCAAACCAGAATAAACTAAAAGATAACTTGCTTCAAAGAGTAACTGTTTACTTATTTGCCCTTGGAGGAAAGCACATCCCAGTCTCTAGTTGCTTCTATCAAATGCCGTTGGCCGTGACTCATCCACTCTTCCTGGTCTTCATACAGCCGCCCACAAAACCAGCACTTAAACACACACTGTGTGGAGTCATCAGGCAAGGAATCCACTACCTGGTAGTTGTTTTTATGAACTTTTTTGAGTTTCATTTTCAACATCATTTGCCTTTTAACGTGACTGGCTTCTTCTGCATTATGGTAGGTCAGGCGTACATGATGCCGTCTGATGCCTAGCTGACACCTAGTCCTCTCTGATAAAACAACTTTGAGGACATTGCCTTTGTATTTATTTATTACCTTCATCACATTGGTCACTTCTGGTGAGTCCACATCAGGGTGGTTTAACACAATGACTGGCTGGTTCCGACGGGGACACTTAATCAACTGATCTGGCTTAGCTGCTATCAGCCGAAGTTGTCTTGCAACCTGAAAAATTGAAGGATCCTTGAGAGAGCGGCTGGGTTCGGCCTGAATTTTGTTCTTCTTCTTGGCGAAGTGTACTTGTTTGGTTTTATTTCTACTTATCGAAAGATTTCTGGAAAGCAGTCTGCCTTGCTTATTTAATTCACTGCTTCCTTGCTGTCCATGCAAGGTGCCAGTTTTTTTAGGGATGGTGCTACAGACAGCACTCTCTTTTTTCAGTTTAGGCCTCAGAGGTGTCTCAAGATTTTGGGACATATCTATTGGCCCCCTTTCACTTCTTAAAGGCTGTAAGTCTGAGTCTGCTTGTTTCACAGGGCAAAATGGAGCTGGTTTTAACTGTGTTTCACTGCAAGGTATGCTGACAGGTGCTTCACATGTAGCCTCTATGATGTGGGCATCCTCAGAGGAATTAAGAACCCTCAGCACAGCCCCTTTGGGGATTAACACTGGTGTGGCAACATGAGCCTTCCTGGCCACTCTCCTTTTGGTTTTCCTAACACTGCCATCCACAAACTGTGAATATATTTGTTGATGAGTAAGTTGTCTGTTACCAGTACCACCACCATCATTCGGAGGTTTCTGAAGAGTACCTGTGGGATGGTCAGGGCCAGTGAGTGACATATTGATTTCTTGAATACCTTCAGAGGTAGCTTTTGAAGTTACCTTTGACGCCTGCCCTCCAGAGCGACGATGTGCACTATTTGAAGCCAAAGATGAAGGCTTGCCACAGGACTCAATTAACTGAGCTATCTTTCTGCGCAACAGTTCAATTGACTTTATTTTAGACGTTGAGCTATTCCACTTGATGCCCTCGGGGACATTTTCAGATCCAGAGCTCAGAGAGAATACTGATGAGATGACTGGGCCATCATTAGTGTTGGTAGTCCTTTCAGAATTCTTTAATTCCAAAGGCTTATCCCCAGGCTGTTCAGGTCTATCTTCTCCAGTTATGTTAACATGTAAATACTCATTTTTATGTTGAGAGGAAATCTGGCCTACACTTGAAACCACCTTGTGTTCTTCTGTCTGGTTATCTTCCTGCTTCCTATTAGAGGAAATCATTTTTACAGGAATACTCATCTTTCTTCTAGATTCCAAGTCATTTTCACTTATAGGCAATAAGCCCTTTTCTCCAGAGAAGGAAAAGGTTGCAGGTGATGCAGCAAAAGGGAATGAGTTACTGTGTAAATTTCTTCCATTTTCAGCAAAACAAACAGCTTTATATGGAAAAGGGTTTGATGCGGCTCCAAGACTACGTAAAACACTGTTTTTCAATACAGATGCTAGAGAATGACCTTTTAAGGCAACTGAAGGAAAAGCAGTTCTATGTGGATACAAATTATTTCTTTTCTGAAAATCCTCAATTGTTTCAGAATGAATGAAGGATTTTCCATGGTTGTGCACACTAGAATCTGGCATAATAAAATCATAAGACCTTACCCATTTCATATTTTTAAGTTGTTTCTGAACTGAAGATTGAAAACTATCAATGCCTACAAGTTTTCCAACATTCTCATCAATTGTCAGTGACTTTGTTTTTTCTGCAGAAAGTATTTTTTCTTGTTCATCTGAACCCTTCTCTTTTGCCATATGTTCAGAATGACCTCCATTGCCCCTCCCAGCTTCAAGGCAATTATTTTCTTCCAGCGGGAACAGTTTCAGAACAAGCTGCTGTGTACCATTGACAACCTTCACGTCTATCAACTGGGCTAAACAGTTTGCAGGGACAACCAGTTCTGCTGGTGCAACAACCGTCAGCGGCATACCTGGCTGAACAGGTTCTTTCGCAGGGGATAACACTTCTACTTCAACATTTTTGTTCTCAAACAGGTTGACTTCAGTTGGCTCAGAAAGGGTCATTTTATTTGGAATACAAACTACATCTTTTTGGTATTCTTTTGGTTCAGGTAACAACATGATATTGTGCATTTTGTCTTTATTTGCATGGAGAGAGAAACCTGATAGTTGATCTGACCACTTATTTTGAATTGCAGCCCGTGGACTGGACGCTTTTAAAAGCTCTGAGTTTTGTTTTGAAGTGCTGGTTCTTTTTGGCTCCGGCTTGGCAACAGCTTTGACTGGCCGTTTTGCACCTGCCCTTTCATGCACTCTCTTTGTGTGTTTGACAATATAATCATTTCTAATAGCACCATAGTCACAGTACTCACACTGATAAGGAAATATGCCTGTGTGTTTCACCAAATGCCTCTGAAACTCCCCTTTCGTATATGAAATGTAGCTGCAGTGAGAACAAATGAATTTAATCTCCTCATGTTGAAGGGTGTGCTTTTTGTACTGCAGCGGGTCCTTAGTGGAAAATCGACATTTATCACAATAGTATTTGCCTGGCTTAAAGTTCCTTACCTTAAATTTGTTATTAACAGAACTTGAGAAGGTGTCAGTTCTATTTCCAACATGAGTAGCACTGGGATTATTGCTCATAAAATGAAAACTAGGAGGAGCTGCACCGAGGCTGCACTGGAAGCAGACATACATACCGTCCTTCCCTGTACCCTTCTGTAAATCCTGAAGAGAGATCTTGTGAACACTTTTGCACTTGGCACATGTAGCAATGGTCATCATGGCACCCTCTGCCTCTGAGCCTTGATACAAAATTGTTGGTGTTTCTTGTCTATCTGGTCGAGGTGCTCCATTAGCATCAGGCTGTTTGGGTGACATGGTCAAGGAATTATGTCCGCTGTTCACGTGTGTAGTGTATAGCTGCTGTCCGATATCCTTCATCTTCTTTATCTGCATTTCTAAAAAGAGCCGACTAAAGTTCAGAAAGCTTTCACATGATAAAATCCTTAGGAGACACCCTTCTATACAGTTTGTGATAGGTAGAGGAGCAGCTACTTCTTGGGTGCATACTTATCTTTTTTTATATACTGCCAGAGTAGGCGCATGATCCCAAAATATGACTGCTTTCAATTCTCTGATATTCCAGGTAACACTAAAGGAAAACAAAATTGTAAAGCATGATTAATATAAGAGTTTGGCTAAGCTATTAACAAACTTATCCTATATTTTAATGGCCTTGGACATTTTATGGTAAATCTCAACATATGATTTTAGACACGTTTATAACAATAACACAATAGAGTTGGCAAGTAAGCCTAAACTGAAAACATTTTCAAACTCAGCCCCCTATAAGTTACCACTTTAGCCAAATCATGAATGAAGATAGATATACGAGGAGCAAGGACATCATAGCAACCATTCAGGAAAGCTTTGATCAGAGAAAGTCACTTTTAAGTGTCAGTGAACATATCTTTCATAGGTGTAATTTCATACTAGCTTCACAAAAATGTTATACAGGACAATTTCAGTTCAGTTTTTGAACAAGTTAGCTATCAAATGGTAGAGATAGGGCTTTGGCCTTGGGTGTTCACATTTGTTTCTACATTATAGCTTATTATCAGCGTGTATATCAACTCTCTTAACTCACATGCTTAATTTGTTTTCATGAGTGGTATAAAGCCCATAATCTGACAATGTTAGGAAGCCTGCCTCAGCATCTCATTGAGAAGCTATTACGTGCTGGGGATTATTCTAAAGTGCTGTAAGGCAGTGAATAAAAGCAAATCAGTCCCATCCTGGTGATGCACACACTGCCGAGAGGGAAACAGATTACATACTTGCCAATGATGGTAAGGTAACTGGGAAAAGAAACACCATAAAGCAAGGCCAACAGGACAGGGAAGGCCACTGTGATGAGGTTGCAGGGCTGGGTATGGAGATGAGGACAGTCAGGAAAGGCCTTATGCTAAGTTCATGTCTGAGCAGAGACCTGGGGGCAACCGGGAGTGAGCACTGTGGCTGCTGGGAAACAGGTGTCTCGCAGGGAAAAGGCAAATGTCTGTGGGAAGTGGGCCTGCTGCTCCTAAGGAACAGCAAGGGGGTTGGGGAACAAGGGACATGGTCCAGGAAAGACAACCCAGTATTGCATAGACATGGCTGGGGAAAGGGTAGTGCAGAAAGGAGACCACCAGTGGCCTGGGGCACAAGAAGCACTCCAACATACACAGTGACTCTTTTATACAATCTTTAAAGGTACTTTTTCCTCCAGAATATGCAGCACCAGGAGCCTAACAAAATCCATTCTAGCTTGGAATCTGCAAAAAGTATTTCACGACTTAAGAAAGTAACTTAGATCTTCTGAACCTCAATTTTTCATGTGGCAACTAGAATTGGGAACAATTATCCAATCTCTCCCAGAGCCACCATGATGATTAGAATGCTAGAGTGTAAGGGAAGACTTTTGAAATTTTCGAGTCCTTCTCCAAGTGTCAAGAGGCACCCACAGAGACTCAGTATTTGTTCAATGACAATGATAGGTGGAAACACAGGCAGCTTCCTTCTGACACAGTGCTAACAGGCCAAGAGCCATAAAGGTAGTCTGAAAGACCGACGTGGGGGAGTAAAAAGGCCCCTCCACAGGGGCTCAAGAGATACAACAGTAACACACTCAGATATGGTGTAAAACCTGCCCTTCGAAAGCAGCTGCTTTGGAAAGCACCAAAACACCACATCATATCTAATGGCAAGCTGTATTTTCTTTGTCAATGTTTTCTCTTCCTACTCTACTTTTGCGACGAGATAGCCACCTTCTTCGAAAGCAATTTCCAACATGAAATCAAGCCCTCAATCAGACTTGCCCTATCTAAGTACGCATACAACACTTAAGACATTAAGCAGATGGAGGCCTGCAGCGTTGCAGTGACAAGTTGGGGGAACATCTTACCCCTCAATGTTCAAACACATACCTGTGTAAAGGGACTATGATTTTGGATAGGACACATGAATGCCTCAAACTGGCAAACACGTACATGGGCAAAGATAAGGACTTTCACATTCCACTGCATTTTTGGCAAAGACAACAGAACTTTCAGAGAAGTCTTTATTAGAAGCTGGCACACACTTTAATTTTCAGACTTGCAGGGGCTTTAGTGAAGGAAGACAGAAGTAACTCCCAAGATTTCTGCTGTTCATCAAGTGACCTCAAGCAAGAACTCACCTGCATCCCTTACTGATCTATTAAAAAAAGGCCGATGACTTCTATGCCCAGTCTGATGCTGCTGATCCTTGAAATCACACAACTGTTCATCTAAGAATGCTACTACTGTCAACACCATCATGTCAGCATTGTTATCCAGGTAAAACAGAAAAATGGCAACCAGAACCCCCCAAAAAAGCCCAAGGAATGCAGAGGCTAAAGACTGGTTATAAGGGAGATCTGGTCCAGCAGTTCTTAACCTGGAGAAGCCTCAGAATCAGAGCAAAAACTGACATTCCCAGACTTCATCTTGAAGCAAGTGAATCTAAGTCTCAGGAGAGAAGGAAAAAAAGAGAATTTTTTGTGGCATGTAAAGGCACCTTAAGTAATCCTGATGAAAAGGTAGCATTCAAATTACTGGTTGAAGCTTCTGGTAATATTTAAATCCTTAAACATCTTCTCCAATTGACCATGCAGCTGATGGTTTAATATTGCCATAAACAAAAAACCACTTCCCTCTATAGGCAGCCAATTTTATTTTCACATAGTTCTCATTATCAACAATTTACCCTTAAATGAAACAGAAATAAGCATTCCTGTAAATTTCGTTGACTCTGGAGCAACAAAAATAAACTTAATTCCTCTTGATCAACCAGTTACCAATCTGCACATCTCTTCTCTCATCCTCAGTTCTCCTGTCTGTTCAAAAGATCTGCATACAAGTTGATAGGTCTGTTTATGCTCTTACCCACCAACCTTGTAATATTAGTATGTGTGTGATAAACTTAATCTGCCTGCCACCATTTGCTTACCAACTATTTCAATACAACACCGTCTATATTAGCCCTAAGAAATTCTCAACTAAGTCATGTGACAAGATTCCTCTATTTGAACAATCCTCCAAACCAGGATTCCAGTGGCTCATTTTCAATGTTTCAGCCTCTTGCTCAGCCCCTAGGAGTCTTTACAAATCACAGAAGGCACTTTTGCCATTTTTCTCTCTCAGTCTTTCTAAAAAGTTGAGGGGGGAGTGTGTATCATTTATTCTAAAACTGAATACTTGAAAATTTGAGACAGATTAGACAGTAAGATCACATCCATCAGCAAGGAAGGGAGAGTATTCCAGACAAGAAAAGTCCCTAGAGAATACACCACGCCAGCCAGAGTGCATGAGGTAGGCAGAGTCCTCCTGGAGGGTCCTCTGCAAAACTGTCTCAGCAGTTATTTTGAATTAAGAATCCATAGGAGGAAATGCAAATATGAAGCATACAGCCATGATTATTAGCAAATGCATCATGATGGGGAAGGCAGGACATCTGGGCCATGACTGAACTATGTCACCAGTTTCAAAGTATCTGCTTGGCTTCTAAACTCTGCACAAAATAATACAATGTTACTACATTGACACATCCCACTGTGTAAGTGAAATAGATGTGAGGTTTCTTCAAAATGAACAGATGGGAGTTCTCTTCGGCCTTTACCTGCGTGTCTACTGACGGGAAAATGCATCTCAGATTTAATACTCCAAGACAAAGGTAAACAGATGCAGCCTCATGGCAGAATGAAGATGGCTTTGATGTTGGTATTTACACATGGACACTCCTGAGGGACAGCCGGCATATCTGTGTAAAAGGCTCTTAGCCCCTGTACCTTCAACACAACGTCCTCCATGGTTCACACCCAAGTACACACACCTGTGAAGCTGAGTCCTTTTGGTAAGTTATGGCCCTCTGGGTGGATGAGCAAGCAGTACAAAAGACACTGGAGACAAAGCTGTGCATGGGTATGCTGGCACTAAAAGGGCACTCAATAAATCACTATTAACATCAAGGTCAGTGTTCATCTACCCTGCAAATCCTCAACATATGTTACAAAAGCCTCTGCATTTGGCCTCCTAGGACATTCAGATAGCTTAGGAAAGCTCTCATAAACACAGAAGATAGTAACATTAACTTTATGGCACAACAAATAAGATGCCCATTTATCTGTCTGTTTTCAAAAAATTATTTAGCAACATACAGTGAGTTTTCTAATGTAGAATGATGTGCAGCATGAGCCAAAGATGACTGCTATGCAGCAAAGGCAAGTGGCACAGTGTGTCACACATGTGCTCTCTGGACTCAGTCTTGTCTTTCTTCAAAGGAAAGACCTGGAAATAGACCTGAATGCATTCACTGTTGGTGGGTTTTCTTTTGATTTTGAGCTCACTTGCCCTGTTTTCTTAAGAGACTTATTATGGGAACCAAAAAAAAAAGGTTTCGAGTTCGGAAGAATCCAGATCAGTGACATTGAGGGCTACAAAAAAAACATAAAAGACTGTGTAAGTTCCTATTTAAGAATGAAGCATTTGGACTTCTAAATATTGGAAACATCTAATGCTCAATAAAATCAGAAGAGAAATTGTGTTTAAAGCTACAGATTCTGGAATCACATTATAAGGTTTAAAATCCCAGCTCTATCACTTTCTAGATATATGATGTAGGTATGCAAACTGTCTTGTATAATAAGACAGTTTTTTTTTTTTATACCTGTAAAATAAGACAGCAACAGTACCTACCCCATAGAGTTACTGTGAGGATTAAATTACTGACATATGCTGTTAAATTATTTTCCATTTTTTAATAAAAAAAAATACCAATCACATAGTCAGAGGGGCTAAAATACAGGCTTCTTAGCTGCCTGATTAAATCCTCTATTCAGAACATGCCCTGAATCTCACTTTGTAATTTTAATGCTGTGTGTTTGGTTATACAGTCTAAAAGATAATTTACCTCTGTGGCACAACCACCCACATAGCTTTACTGCCAAGAGCTAACAGCTGTTTATAATCACCATAGAAAAGATGCTCCAACTACAAGAGTATGCACTACAACTTAGAGTTACATATAAACTAGTTACTAAACTACCTGTTCCTCACCCACTTCTCTCAAAGCTCAGCCAAAGTGGGAAATATCCCTGCAGCAATGCCATGTGAAAAGGAAAGGTGGGCGGCCAATTATATCGCATGCATGCTACATGGATCACCACATACATTTCTGTTCATGAGATGCCCAGCAAGCTCAGTGTTAGTTGACTGGCTGCATCCTTTTTTGGATGGAGAAGCAAACTTAAGCAGCTCTTTTCAGCAATTCTGACCTAAAAGTTCTCCTTTGAATGTGGCTTCTACCATACCCATCACTGGAGCAGGGTATAGCTGCTGTACGCATGAAGATCACATGGAATGGAGTCGTAAAGTTTACAGTTCAAACTCTGATCCTGTCCCTCATTTGCCGGGTTTTTCAGCAAAGGATTTTTCTCTGTGCATTGCCAGGCAAGGAATTACGCTTTACATTAGCAAACTTAAAGGCGATGATCAGGAGACACACACTAGATAATGGATGCAAAGCACTTAGCCTAACGGCATAGCCACTTACAAATTATATATACGCTCCTTCTGTCCATTTCACCATAGTAAAGGCTTGTCTAACTTTTCCCAGTAACCAAAATTTTAAAGCAATTCTACCCCAAAGTGCCCAGTAAACAAAACTTGATCAAGAAAAAAAAAATTCAACATTAGACATCAACTGCCAAAATTTCCCCAGTAGGATAATATTGAGGAAGAAACTGTTGCCTCAGAAAGAGCTTTTTCAGACCATTAATATGAATCAGAAACAAACTGCTGGGTAAACAGGCTTAAGGGAGGAAAAAAAAAATCCATTAAGTGCCATAATCTTTATGCCATACTACCTTGTACTGAGATGACTGAATTGCAAATCGATTGCCATCTTGATGATGAAAAATATATCCAAATGCTGCTGATAAATGTACCACCTTTGAGATCCTAGATTTCCATCTGAAACCAAGTGTACTGCTTGAATGGAGCAAGAAGGGAAGGCTGCAGGAGACAGCCCAATTCCTCTGCTTTCCAGGTGAAAGCAGCTGAGTTTAATGAAGTAGAGAATAATGACTTTGGGACATCAAGAACAAGGTTCAAAACCCAGATGTTTGGTTTACTAGTGTATGTTCAAACTTGTTAACCTATCTGGGCCTGAATGTTCTCACTCATAAAATGGTGATATTTCTAATTTATCCAGCTGATGTGATGATAAATGAGAAAAGCGTGTACGGTAACTTTATGCTTGGCAAAGAGTAGATGTTTTGTTAAGAAATCAGTCAATATTTTTTTAAAGATCCCTTCTCAGGTAGAAGAATCCAGTAATGTCCAGAGAAGCAGACACAGGTTAGCTTAACAAATGAGTCTGATGAGGCAAAGGTCTATATCAACACTTCATTAGTCAGCAGGAAGTGGGGGTCTTCTCCCCACCCTGTCTACAGAGAGTTCTTTGGAGATTGACTTGACACTGCTGGGCACATCAACTGAGCCTATATGAGAAAACGAAGGAAGTAATATTATAGGTTTTCTTTTTCTTATCATTTTAAGAAGAAAAAAATCTTTCCAAAGAAGAATATAGCCACTATTAGAGTGCTTGATTTCTAAAATTTATGCTTTGTATGCAAAAAAAAAAAGTGAAAGAGCAAATATGCTCTTTGTAAACATTAAAAAATATATGTGCTAAAACCAAGGTAGTATTGCAAGAAAATACAAAGCTTTATGTCATGAAGCACATCAAATGACGTCGGGTTTCTAAAGGTGCTAAAAATGAGACATGTATTTTGCTTTTTTTTTTTCCCTTAAATTACAGAAAAAAAATGGATTCAGAGTTGCAAAAGATGATTAAACACAGAAAACATATCTACCATTAAACCAGTAGTTCTTTACCTTGGCTGCATTAGGGCAACTGGCCTGTCATGTGCCCAGGATATTAAACTTATTTTTTAAAGGAGATCCCTGGGACAGCTGGTCACCCCAGTGCACACCAGAATTTACTTGGGAGTTTTAAAAATGATGTCCCCTGCAAACACTCCATTGTAATTGAGGCAGTGGGGATATTGGGATTTTTAAAAGCTTCCCAGGTAATTCTCGTATGCAGCCATGCAGCTAAGGCTGCGGACCACCTGGCATCACAGGTGCAGGTGCACTTTGGAACGGCAATAATAATATCAACATCCCTGTACAAGATTGTATATGCTTGTGGGTGCCTGGAGGTGGGGTGAGACCACCAGCCCATATACTTGTGGGGCTGTCATGGGGCAAATAGACAAGGGTTCCACCCTTCCCTAGCCCTGTGACCTTGGAAACAGCAATGATGCTCTCTGTGAGGTGTATAAGGAGGTATCTACTTTGTAGATTCTTAGAAATTTGCATGTTCCTGGCACAGTGCCTGTCATGAGCACTGCCCAGGACTGTTTTATTCCCACACCTGCTGCTTTTAAGGAGTGTAACAGAAGACAAAGAGAAGTAAATGGGTATTATTAGTGAAGTAGTGAATGTTCTATCAGGAATATAATGAGAATGCTCTCCCAGTGGCTGGCTGCTTTTCATTCCTGGAGCACCTTGGCCCAAGTCAGGTGAAAGAATGCCTGCATAAGCAGGTTCCTATGTTACCTCCAAACTTCTTGAAGCCAGCCTTCAATTAACTGCTTTTTCTCTGGTAACAGGTCTGGAGAAGCTAGATGGCTTTTTGAAGATCACAGATTTGGTGAACAGCAGCAACTGTGTCCAATCTTACATTCCTTGTTGTTTGCTACCTTGCTTTGTGAAGCTGTGAGATGAAGCCATATAGTCAGTATCTGCTGCCACTTGAGCACTGTTCTTACTTCCTGCCTGGAGCCTTGGAGTTGCAGATATAAGTAAAAAATGTGGCAAGTACCATGGACTCTTCCTTCTTTCAGGCCTTCTCTTCTCAGGCGTGGAGTGCCACGAGTTTCACAACTTCAGGCCCTGGTTGTAGGCTTCTACATCAGAACCCTGGGCCCCAGTAAGGTGCTGCACAAAGAGGCCTGCAACAGAAGCCAAACAAACACTTGGGTTTAAGTCCTGGACCAGCACAGCCTTGGTTTCTCAGGCAGTGCTGAAGATAAGGGGAATGAGCCCCAGGAGTGCTGCTCAAGCAGGGGTGTATGGCAGAGTCACCCATGGAGCTTAAAAAAAGGATTCCCAGGACAAACATACAACCTAGCAAATCAGATTCCCACTTCTTGGGGTTGGGGCTCAGGCATATGGTTTCAATTTCTCCCTAGATGATTCTGATGCCTCCCCACTCTCGCCCCTTGATGACAGTGTTTAGACTGGCTGATCTGTAGCTGCTTTTACTCCAAGGATGAATCCTGTAAATCGCAGTTAGCTGGGTTTGCATAACAAAGAAAATGCAGTAGACAGCCGGCAGTTTGAGAACAATCAAGATTGGGAAAACCCTCCCTGGTAAGGATCTTGTTTATTATAATCAATAGCACAGGGCTTGGCCAAGGAAGGCACTCAGTAAAGTTCGTATTCGTTGAAAGAATGAGTGAATAAATGAAAAGTCAGCCTTTACAGAGGAAAAAAATTAAAATGTCCTTTGTTCTTCCTTTTGCACAAAAACTGGCCCGGATCCCCTTACTTAAAGGCAAATAAACCTCTAGAGATCGAAATGGATTATTTAATTGCCATTTTGCATTTCAAAAATCCTCGTAGGTTGTGCATAATACATCGGGGAGGAGTCCCAATAAATAATGGCCATCCTATGCTCTTTTCAAATTGCTTTTGCAATGAATGTTATCAGCATAACAAAACTGTCTACATAGAGAAGTGTTAGTTTTCAAGGCTCATCTGATCCAAGATGAAAGTAATTTTTAAAAATTGTATCCTAGGTTAAAGATACCAGTATCACACAATTTTAAAAAAGAACTATTTGTATTCTACTCAAAGAGAGAACAGTCTATAACACTGGTTTCTAAACAATATTTTCTGAACCCTTGGCTGTGTACTGACATAAACTTTGCATATGTGAGTCGAGAGAGATGCATCTCTATTCTCAGTCTTTCTGCTCTACTGTAGGAGAATACTGCCAGCTTCTGGAGACCCAGGTTTGTCTTAACTTGGTAATTTCAAGTCTAAACTTGGGATAGTTTAAGGATTCTAACACAATATTAGAGTTTAGCTACGTAGATTTCTACTTTTAAACTGGACATAATGTTCAGTAGTTCACTTTTTTAAATGTTACGATAAATCGTTCATTATTCCAATTTTTAAAGTCAGAGGTATTTTAACAGTGTACGTTAACTACCCAACTGATACATAAAGACTTAAGTGTTTTCTCCCATTCTCTCTTTTGGCTTTTCCTTTTTGGTTAAGAAACTTTCATTCTTTCGAACCCTGCAATTTCCTGGCTTTACAGAACCCCAAACCCCAAAGCCAACAAGATAAGACGGGCAGGCCGGAATGGGAAGGTCACACAATGACATCAGCATTTGGAACAATTCAAACCTTCATCATCTCTTCTCTTTCAACCTATGTCCTCACCCCCCGCAAAAGATGCGCAGGTCCTCGATAGACGGGCCCACTCCTGTCCCTCCCAAGAAAAGACAATGCCAGGCTGGTTTTCGAGTTTATTGTCGGCACGCTCCCCGATGGCAGGCAGCATCCAAGGAAAGCGCGCCTGAGACTGTGCGCTCGGAGGGCGAGGCCGGGCGCAGTGGGCGCATCGTCATCTCCCGGGAGCGTCCCGCCCGTAGGGCGGGAAGGCCGGAATTCTTCCAACCAAAGAAGAAAACCAAAACCGTCAACGCTCGGCTACGAGGCCTGCAGGAGGCTTTAAAAATGGCCTCCTGACGACACTTCCTGCGGACTGTAGGAGCCCTCGGAGGCATCTTTCAAAACGCTGGGGGAGGGGAGCTCAGGCCGCTCCGGGGTCGCCACATGAAAGGCCCTGCGGGACGCCCCCGCCCCCGCCCCCGCCCCCGCCCCGCACCGAGTCCGCAGGGTCACAGCGCACAAAGGCGTGCGCGGGGCGCCAGGCTTGACCCCTACCCCAGGCCCGGCCCGCGTCCCTGCTCCAAAGCGCGCCGAGATGCGGCTCGGGCCCCCACCCCGGCCGGTGCTCCGCGCCCACCAGCCGGAGCCCGCGTTCGGCCTTCCCGGTGCCGCTCGCCGCGACGCCAGCCCTCACGCGGGCACGCGGAGCCGCGAGCGCTTGACCCGGCCCGGCGCCGTCAGGCCCCAGCCCCGCGCGGCCCCACGACCCGGCCGCAGCCAGCGCTTCCATCCCGTGCACGGGAACCCGGGGCCCTCGCCCTCCCGCTCAGCTACTTACCCCGCAGGCCGGAACCAGGTGCCAGGTACCGGTGAAGGGGCGTCTACACCGCCGGCCGCAGACTGCGGCGCCGCGCCCGCTGTAGGTCCCTACCCGGGGGGCGGAGCCCGCGCCAGCCCTGCGCGTGCGCAGTGCGAAACAGCACGGTTCCAGGGAGGCCGGCGCCTGAGGTCTCTAAGGCTGCACCCTCCCCCGCCGGGCTTCTACGCTGTCCAAAGCCCGAAGCCTCAGACCCAGCCGAGTCCGACCTCTAGGCTTAGAGCTTGACCCAACGCATTCGCACGACAGCCTGCAAGGTTCACACTTAGCCATGCGGCAGGCTCAGAGCCTCCTCTGCAAAGGAAGGATTCGGCTTTGGTCCTGGCCCAGCCCGCCACCCCAGGGCGCCTGCCTGGTACCCATCCCGCGGAGGGAGGCCTTGGCACCCACCCCCGTGGAGCTTGCAGTCCTGCAGCGGGTGAGTGAAAGCGAGAGAAAAGGAACTCAGGTCCTCAGCCTCCAAACTCATCCTTCTTGGAGCGCTACAGTGAAGGAGATGGCCTTGAAGTCCTAGGTACAAATCCCAGTTCTCCCGACTCTACATCCTAGCTGCTGGACTTTGGCAAGGAAGTCCCCTGAGCTTTCTCAGTGTCTTCATTTCTGAAGATGGGGAAGGTCGTATGTGAGACGCAAAGCCTCCTCTAGCAGTTGGGCGTTGTGAGGGTCAGAGGGGACAATGACTGCGGGAGTCTGGAGAGGGTGTGAGCTCATTTAACGCCAGAGTTTCTTTCCTGCCTCCTGGACTTCAGTGCTGGACTTTTGGGCGAGCCAGCTGCCCTCTAGATACACCTGAATCTACGATCTGGAAGACATATTTAGAATAGAGCCGCTAAGAGGAAAGAAGAGGATCATATTGCCAGGGTCCCCATAATCAGTGACTCCCCACCAAGTGAAACTGCTCTCAGCAGGGGCAGATCGAGGCACGGGAGCATAGTCACTGGGAAGTACAGTTTCTTCGGGATGAACAGCTAAAGCTGATTTCAAAACTCTAAAAGGGGGAGGGGCAAGGCTGGTTTCCACCACCTTCCTTTTGGCGCCAGAGGTCGGCATGCATGGACAGCAGCCAGTATGCTACACGGAGATGTGGGGCTGGGCAGTCCTGCCATAAGGTGGAGCGGAGTTGAGGATGACAGGCTCAGCCACAAGTCCAGCAGCTGGGCAAAACCTCTGCCACTGAAATACCAGGAGCTGGGCAGAGGAAACAGCAGCCCAGAGAGCAAATCCTTCTCCCTTCCCTAGGCTGCAGTGCTCCTAACCTCGGTCCTGATCAGGCTTCCTCGCTGAGCTGCTAGGCTCCTGCTTTTCTATCTCCTAGGACTCAGAGAAGCTAATGGACCTTTTCTCGGAAAAACACATTTATGTGCAGATAGCGCCTATCAGAGTATGCCAGACAGCTCAAAGTCTCCCTCGAGAGTAGGGTCAAGTTGCAAAGGGCATTGAGAATCCATACTAGCAACCACTGCCTGAAAATCTCTAGTGGCAAAGTGAACCACATGCGGAAAAACTATTAGTTCCAAGTATCGGAGAATCTGAGGTCTAAACATCAGAGAAAACGTTCCTAAACTTTAGCCCAAAGTGTTGCCTCTCCTTAGAACTTCTGCTCATGCATCACAGTTCTGCCCTCTTACGTCACACAGAATTGATGTAAGGTACTTGCGGGTCTCCTGGGAGTTTCTCTGAAGTTAGAACTGGTTATAAATCCCAGTTCAGGCACATAGAAGTTGTGAGCCTGTCTGAACCTCAGTTTCTCATGTAAAATTCAGTGAACAATAGGTCTTTCCTCTCAAGGGGGTTGTTAACATTAAACAAGAGAAGGCAAGTCAGGACTTGTCACAGTCCCTGGCAGATAGGAAGTGACTGTTAACTTACTCTTCAGGAGCCCAAATTCAGGGAGATGAAATGCTTTGTGGAAGGTCTGGGAATGGGATGTTGACAGCCTGGAAAAGGGCAAAGGAAGGATAGAAACAACTTCAGCAGAAACCTTTAAGGTTGATGTCCCCAAAAGTCTTGATGCTCACAAATGTGAATCATCACACATTCCCTACACTTAAGTCGGCCCTTCATGTCTTCTTCCCCATTCCCCAGCTGAGTTTGCCTAAATTCCATGGATCACTTGTGTTGAATTATGTTTCCCAGAAAAATACATTGAAGAGCTAATATCCCCCACCCCCGACTTATGGATGTGACCTTATATGAAACAGGGACTTGACAGATGTTAAGGCAAGATCATTAGGGTGGGCCCTTATCCAATGTGACTGATGTCTTTATAAGAAGAGACACAGAGAAGAGAATGCCATGAGAAGACACAGAGACACACAGGGAGAAGAAGCCATCGACAGAGGCAGAGATTGGAGTATACCGCCACGAGCCAAGGGCTATTGGAAGATGGAGAAGGAAGGTAGGATCCTCCCCTAAAGGGTTCAGCAGGAGCATGGCCCTGCGCGGACACCTTGATTTCAGACTTCTAAGCTGACAGAACTGTGAGACAATATGTGTTTGTTTGGTATAGCCACCCCAAGAAACCAATGCACCCTCCTAGTTATGACTACGTAAATGTAGGAGAGAAGAGGGAAGATGTGAACCAGTCATCGAGTAGAAGATCTTGGAGCCAACGTTCAGTCATTCACTCATTCATTGAACAAAACAAGTATTGGGCTAGGCGCAGTGGCTCAAGCCTGTAATCCCAGCACTTTGGGAGGCCAAGGCAGGCTGATTGCCTGAGGTCAGGAGTTTGAGACCAGCCTGGTCAACATGGTAAAACCCCATCTTTACTAAAAATACAAAAATTAGCTGGGCGTGGTGGCGGGCGCCTGTAATCCCAGCTACTTGGGAGGCTGAGGCAGGAGAATCTCTTGAACCCAGGAGATGGAGGTTGTAGTGAGCCAAGATCAAGCCACTGCACTACAGCCTGGGCGACAGAGTGAGACTCTGCCTCAAAAAACAAAACAACATGTATTTGAGTGCCCATTCAGTGCAGGCACAGGCTAGTGCTCAGGCTAGAGGACTGAGGAACTAGGTAAGGCTCAGCCCGCAGGGAGCATTCATTTCCAGACCACAAAGCTTCCGGATGGAATGATGGGACTTGGGATCTGAGCGCTAAGCCTTGAGTAGGAAGCTGCCACAGGAAGATGGAGGACAGGGGAGAGGAGAGCATGTGCAAAGGCCTGAAGTAGGCTCTTCTGAGGAAGAAAAGGAAAGGCGGTGTGGATTTAGGTTATTCTAGGCACCAAGAAACTGGTCTTAGGGGAGCCCTTCATCAAATTCTACCAGTGGGGAGCTTGGGGCTCAGAGGAAGGCTTCTCTATGAGCTTGCCAGGATCATCCTTTCTCTTGCTCCGAACTTCCTTCCACGCTGCATTGCCCCCGTTTATATTCTCCCTGGCCTCTAGGACCTCCGAATATTATATTACTTGACAAAAACACCACTGTCCCTTCGAAAAGGGCTGGGTCTCTAACACCCAGGTCAGAGCACACACATGTCAATCTCAGACACTTCAAGACTTTATGCATGGACAGGAGATCCCAGAAAGTGACTTTTTTTTTTTCTTCTAAAACATTTCAGAAGTTTCTAGTAGCTTCTTTGAGCCTTAGTTTACACATCTGTGAAGGAGGGATAATGGCCCCCAAGCTCCAAGAAGACAGCCCCGGTTCTCAAGCTTACCTCGCCTCAGCCCTGGGGCGCAGGAGGTTAAGGATGTCGAGTCCGAATCCCGATCTCATTTGCCCTCCTTCCAGCTGTGTGATCTTGGCCAAGTTACTGCCAGTCTCTGAGACGTTTTCTCAGCTGCAAAAGAGGAGTAACTGGAGCAGCCTTTCGTTGAGGGTGTCAGGCCCTGGAGCGTGGCTAAGGCAGGGACCACGTCCCAGCCTCCCTTTCCCGTCCCGCAGCGCAGGCACCTTCCCTCGGTTCTCCCGGCCGCGCACACCCAGCTCAGCAGCCCCTGCTGCCGCGGAAGCGCGCAGTGGGACTGGAGGGGCCACGAGCAGCAAACTGGGCATGCGCGGCCTATAGAGCCTCGAGAGGCGCGGCGCCGCGCTGCAATACCGCCAGCGGCCTGTGGCGTCGCTGCGCACCAGACTGACCCAACTCTGCGTGTAGAGCTCTACCCGGCGCACCGGGTGGTGCAGCCCTGTGCTCACCTGGCCGCCCTCGCTCCCGCCCGCCCGCCCTGTGCCTCCAAGAATCGGGAATGTAATGTTTTGTCTTACGTTCCCATTTGCTCCCTCCCCAGGCTGGCGTGGGATCCGAGGGTTCCTGATGACTGGCTTCTCGCCCCTCCCGCTGGGCTGAAAGCGCCACCAGGAGCCCTGGCGCCTGGGCTTTGTTCATCATTAAAGCCTTGGGGACATAGCAGGAGCATAGTTCCCGGCAGAGAACAGGTCTGGCTGCCACGGCCCATACGGGCGAAGCCGCCGGCATCCTTTGCCTAGACAGAGTTCTGGAAAGCGGATAGGGGGACAGGGGCCGGCCCCAGATCGGTTCCGGAGGGGATAGATCAGAACCGGAGAGGGTGCATTTAGAAACTCATTGCAACCTGACAAAGCTGCAGCGTCCTAGCGCAGGATCAGCAACAGGAATTCGGGTGGGGTCGAACTCAGAGACTGGTCGCTTGCGCGCAGAACTGCGTAGACTCGAGTAGGTTCAAAAAGGATAGGTGTAAGGGGCAAGAACTAGTCCTTCACCACAGGTAGATCTAGGCTGCTGCGGGGGTCTCCTGGCTCATCTCCCTGCATCCACTGGCCTCCCACCCACACTGCTACATCCAGAGTGGTCCTAACACAAAGCAAACTGAATGAAGTCATTCCCCTGCTCCAGAGTCCTTGCAGCCTCCAGTCCTAGAGGATGTGCCCCCGCCTGCCTGCCTGCCACGTCCTCTCATACCCTCTCCGCATGGTCTTACAACACTGACTCCCTTCTGCACCGCTGACGCACCGGGCTTCTCCAGGGAAAGACCTTTGCACTATTACGCCTGCCTGGGATCTCTCTTTCTCCTCTCAACTACAAATCACCTCCTCAGAGGCCTTTCTAACCATTTCATTGCTCCTCATTCTGTCACATCCCTGTGTTTTATGTTCTTCATAATGAACTGAACCTGTTTGTTGT